GTCCAGTGGAGCCTGAGTGGTGGGTGTTGCCTTCTGACACACTTCCGGTGATGTCAGGGGGTGTGTCATATGCAAATAATTTATGCTAATGAGTTATGCTAATGAGCTCCTGCACCTCTTTTTCTACGAAATGACCCCTGATTGCAATGAACTATAAGTTTTGATAGAATAAAGAAAGACTACCCTATTAAATAGGATTTCCGTTTTATGCAAGTTCTGTTTAGTCCTGTTAAAATTAATGACTTTATACTAACAATATTTTTTCATTCTCTAGGGACTTTGAAGGCAACAAAATCCATTATTTAAAAAATGCCACTTTCATCTCCTGCAGAAGCTTAACAGTTCTGTAAGTAAGGAGCATTCTTGTTGAACCAACTTGGTGCAAGAGTTTCTTGAACTGGCTTCTGGTTTTATTGTACTTCACTGATCTCCCTGGGGAGGAAATTCCATAGAACGGGCACAACCACAGAGTCAAGAAAACTATAAAATCATCTTTCCTCTCTGATGTCACATGAGTAGGAAGACCCAACCTAAATGTTAAGTAGTGGGTTCACAAGACTATCATGGTTTCAGCATAGCTCTTTATTAGTTACTCAACAACAACTACACTATATACAGAACCCCTAGCCCAAAACACACCCACAAAATACAAATGCACCAATAGGCAATTAGGCAGTTAGGATGTTCCCTGAATGGCTGGCTTGGCAAGGGCAGCCAATCCAAATGTAGCTGCCAGAAGCCTCTCAAACAATGAGTGTTCACTAGAAGCTCTCAATACACAGCACTAAAGATCTTACTAGGCAGGCAGAGAGGAAGGAGACAAATGGGAGAAGTCACTCCTAAAATATACTAACATCGGGATTCTATCATTTCAGTGTTCTGAGAAGAAATGAAATCAGCTCTCTCAATGTAAATAGCTTTTCTCATCTTCACAGATTAGCTGAATTGTAAGTAGATAATTTAAATACAGCACATTAACTACTTTATTGTGACTTGTAAAGTTAGAAACTTTGATAGTAAAATAAAATAAAGATCTAAATTCTGGGGATTTTCCCACAGAGACCTGGCTAACAACCAAATTGAATCATTTCCTCCATACCTATTTAAGGACCTGAAGGAACTCTCACAACTGTAAGTATTTATGATATCTCTAGTATATAACATATATTCTAATTAATGTTTTATATGAGATGTCTCCAAAAACGGAATTATACTAGAATTATAGGTGCACCTATACATGCTGTTATGTGAAAAATTTCTTTTTAAAAAGGTTACAAAAATCTTTGTTTATTTATTATGCTGAGTTTAACATGGATTTCCAGAAGTATTTTTGTATTACCTATGGTTAGTAATCTCAATAACCAGACTCAGTTACTTCAGGATACACAAATGCTTCATTCAGACGTAAGAACAATGTTATTATTACAGTAGTATTGTACTGTACTGTACTGTACTGTACTGTAATAGTATTATTAAATAAATTATTCAATAGTATTATTACAGTAACAAGCCTGGAAGATCCTCAAGTTTATATATTCCTTCCATCACAAATGATGAGTTAATGAAACATTTTTGGATTTACAACAAACCATAGTTTGCCTGAGCCACATCACGATGTCACATCATTTCTTTTGTTTGTTTTTGGTGACAGACACAAATGCAGCTTGTTGCCATGTATGTTCCTTCCACCACACCCCAACCGTTACATGCAGAGCACAAGAAAGCTTGCTGGTTTGGGAATTCGCTGCAAATGGCTAGTCAGACTGGAGTTTGTTTCCTCTCTGCAGATCAGGATCCTAAATCCTGGTTTAAAACACCAGTTTGGGAGGAGGAAACAGAATTCCATTTGACCAGGGGCTGCATTCCAACATGATGGAAAATTGGAGTTTGACTGAAGGCTTCTACAATCGGGAAGCTTTGTATAAAGCTCTGTGCATCAGTACAGCATCAAGCTGATTTTGTGTTCATCATAAACAGAGGTTTGTCACACTATATGAATACAGCCATCATTTGAGGTTCAGATGGACCAACAGACTGTGATTCATCATGAAGGCAGAAATCCTTCATTATGAAGTTGTGGAATAAAGCACATGAACCCAAGGATCTTTCCAGCTCATTTATGTCTAAAACTAGTGTCCTGTCCCGCGCCGTTGGCTTAGCCAACGCCTTCTAGGTATGAGTCAATGCATGACCCCTGATGAAGGCTTAAATCATCTTTATTTAACTCCATGTGCATTCAGAAGATCATTTACTCACAATCAGGCTGATAGCTGGGTAGAAAAGTTACATCTTTGTGATCTAAGTCAATTCTATGGCCGTGTTGAGAAAGAGATGAGATTCCCCTTCTCCTTCGTGGTAAGGATAGACAAAAGAAGCAGGAAAAGAGCAATAAAACTCCTATCTTTGCGCCTCTGAGCTCAGGAAATTACCCTAATGAGCCAGTCAGAGGGGAAGCTGCTGGGACCCCTAACTGAGAACTACAATTCCCAGGTGCAACTAGTCTTAAAGATACACAGCAGTTTTACCAAACTACTGCTAGTGCCTACAGTTAACGCTTACTGGAGGCAGCACAACTAGCCAAAGCAGAAGGTGCAATAAAGACTATATGATTCAGACAGATATCTACCAAAGAGTGGCGGTGGTACTCACTGTAACTGATTATGGGCACCTTTGGCTCTCTCATGTACTGAGGAAATCAGTTCAACCTTATATATGAGTGCTGCCACCTTTATCTACTCATTTAAAAAGTATTCTTTGTTTGCATACATTGAGTGGGACAATTACAACCTTTTTATTCAAGGAGATATAGCTTCATTTCAGATTTTTAGTTCAGCCGATATTATTTTTAATTGCCATTTGTTGAATCCATTTTCGGTAAAATCTATCCAAGACTTGATGCTCTCAAATTCCCAGTAAATATTAACATTAATCTTTCACACAACTTTCAATCAATTGAACAAGTGAGGAAAATATCCAATAAACACGATGTAGCCCCCAAATAATCATGTATCTTAACCCACAATTTACTGTGTTTTTTTGACAGGAATATTTCATGCAATCCTGTACAGAAAATACAAGCAGATCAGTTTGATTATCTTGTAAAACTCAACTCTCTGTAAGTGCATGTAGTCCTTTTGATAAATCTTTTGTCAGTATTCCACACAGAATTGTAGCTCTGTAAAATGCTCATTGAATATTTTCCAAAACATTTGAATGCATTTCAATGCTTTATAAGTTACTCAGTTTTAGTAAAGAAGGAAGTAATGAAGCTTAGCTAGGAAATTTTGACATGGATATATGCGTGTCCATTAGCTTTATGAAAGACAGTAGGATTGTTACTATAAAAATATAAATATATAGTTGTTGTAGTAAAAAAAGAGTAGATGCTGCAGCTGTCAGACAAATCTATCTCATGCTTGGACCCAGTCGTGTCTGAGGTCCTGCTCCCTTCAGCTTTGTTTTTTTAGAGCATACTTTGTTGTGAAATGTTATGTTGATACAAGATCCAGTGACTCAGTGCCACTAAGTGGAGAGTCTTCCTTGATAGGAAGAAAATCTGTTCCACCGAAGGAAGATTTACTCGTGGAGTTAATTTCTCTTTTCAGTACCTGCAAATTAAAAATTATACATAATTGATACAAAGGTATTTTGATATATTTGAAACATGTATGAAATCAGTCAATTAAAAGGACAGTTTTCTGAGGAAAGTGGTCAATGTTTCTGACATGGTCTGTAAAGTTAATGTTTTAGGTTTTACCTTTATTGTACCATTTTTCAAAAACTCTCAATAAAATATTAATGATAAAAAAGAAAGGACAGTTTTCTAAACTATATAGCATTCTGGTGCAGATCATGTTGGAAATGTATGTGTTTGCAAGGTCTCACAATCCAGTCATTATAGGGTTAACTTGTTTACCTTGTATGCTATTGTTTAGACTGACCTGGAAGGGAAACCTGGCTCAGAGCCAATGGGGAAATAGCCTGGGTGAAATTGACTTGTATTGTAATACAGATTGGTTACTAGTTTCAGGTGGCTTCCTTTCTAGGGGTCAAGAAGAAGTTCTGTTCTAGCCGTGCTTGTATAGAAGTAAGATGTAAGAATATAGCTCTAAGATGTTTGTTATTTTCATAGGTCTCCTGTATACTCTTTACCATTAGAAATATTTTTTTAAACACAAAGAAATCTCTCCTCTCCAATGAAGCAAGATCCATCGATACTCTGACTAATTTAAGTATTTTGACTATTTTTCCAACAGATCAAACCAAAAGCTCTTAAATATGATGCTAAGACAGGAAATTTTCCACCAAAGTTCCAGATACATCCTAGATATTCACTATTTTTATGTGATCAGAATGTTTCTAATGCTTTTTGGAAAGAGGTGGGATTTCCTCTCCCCTCTCTTGCCATGCAGCAGCAGATCTAACAAGCAAAGAGCTTCACTGGCCACTGCCTTCTAAACTATCTATATATCTAATACTGAAGTCGCCCCCTGGTGTGCAGATACCTAAATCCGCGCACCGGGGGCAGCTGGGGGGGGAGGGAAAGTTTTGTGCACACGTGGGGCGGGCCCCAGGTGTGCACAAAAATCTAACCCCCCCAAAAAAATATATCGGGGGGATATTTAAATCCCCTGCGCATGCGCAGGAAATGCTCTGCATCCGAACTCGCCGCCACTTTGAAGGGGAGGGAACAGCAGCGAGGCGGCGGAGGGGGAGGGAAAAAGCAGCGAGGCCAGATCAGGGAAGTGGCGCCCGGGCAGAGGAGATGGGGCTCCTTTTGGAGGGGGGGAGGCGAGGCGGCTAAAGGCACGGCAGGGAGGGCCACGCCGCCCCCATCCTCATCCTCATCCTCCCGGATTGGCCACCGCCACTGCCGCTTCTGCTCCTGCTGTCTGTCTGCGAGGCGTCCAGGCGAGGCAGGCAGAGCAGGGCGAGAGGAGGAGCCGCAGCGGCAGCCGC